TGACTTTACATTTTCAGATTTATTTATATCCTTTACAACATAATCAAGGTGTCTTTGGAAGTGGTTTTTTTTTCTTTTGTGAAAGGAGACATTATCAACTAGATCTAGTAAATTCTCAAACCCAAACAAATTTTCAATAAAAAGTGCAACTTTTTTTGCTTTTAAATCCATATCCTTCACTTTCATTGGAAAAGTTATATTTATGAAGAAAGATAACCTTTCCATCTCATTCTTCTAATTAAACCGATACATAAAACAGAGGATTTAACAGAATAATCCTGTCTGTTTGTTTTGGGAATGTCTTTCAGAGATATTCTGAAATTTGTTTTTTCCATATTTGTTTCTGTTCTTTCTTTGGAGATTATATCCCTTATTAGAATCAGACCTACATTATTGGAGTTGTTCAGGTTCTTCAATGAACTTCTTTACAATTTGGTGGTACCTGTTGATTATTTTTGCAATTTTCACCATTGTTTTAATTTTTAGAGGTTCTGAATTTATTAAACCTTTTTCTATTTCTGTTAAATTAGAAACATGACTATTGAAATTCAGGATATTTCCTCTGAATGGCTGTAGACACAAACTCTGGCTGATATAGATAGCACCCATAATCTACTTCAATTTGCAATCTTTATTGTTGCTTGTCTTCCCTGATGACTGTCAGGGCAAGCTTTTCCCATTCCTGCCCCCTCTCCCACACATTGCTGTCTTCAGCTGATACGAGCAAGTTGTGGTTCTCATGAGGAAATAATATTTGGTGCGTGCACTTTTTATATGCATTTTATTGATGCAGCATTTATTTCTGGCAGCCAGTTCTTGGTATGTGATTCTCAGACATAAACCAGGAAGAACCCAAGCTGGAATCCATTTGGATTCCATGTTGTTGAATGTCTTGAAGGGACACAGCACGTAGGGGAGACGATGACAATGACTACAAAGACGACTTTGTGGCGGGGTGGGGGACTCCTTTTGTATGAATTACTGCATTAATGTAGTGTCACCTGGTGGTGAACAGTCTGAGGTGTTATGGTTGGTTTATTAAAAGGACTTTTATTGAGGGGTGAAGAAGGAGAGAGAATATCAAATATCTTATCCCAAGTATTATGAATGGCACAAATGAAAACAAACAAGACCCATATCCCAATGTGAGATTGACAAGAAATTTACATTTATTAAATTACATAAAATATAAAACGGAATTCAAATTCTGCACAAAATTTTCCTGTTTGCCTTAAATTAGTAATTTTAGAATTTCTTATTTTGCCTGTTAAGCTCATAAAATTGTAAAAACAATTATTCTTTTTTTTTTTTTTTTTTTCTAAAATATTTACTTACTTTAATAGATTAAACTGTTTAAAATCTTTGAGAAGGATGGCAAATTCACAAATGGTTGTTGGCTTCCAATTTTGTGAATCTTTCAGTTTTCTTTCTGCTTTTTTCCTCTTTCATAATCATCGTATTATTCAGAAACAACCCCAGTCTGTCAACTATGAACATCAAGACACTTATCGTCCTTAGATCAATTAGATTTCTTAAATAGCCGCAAACAGTTTCCAGATTCAATCGAAATTTTGAATTTTTGGTAGGGGTAGTGGAGTGTCTCTTATCAAAAAATAGAAATATTTTTGTCTTATTTATATTTGAGGCTTAAAAAAAAAATCTCTGGACCAAATTATAATAGACAAAAACTATATATAATGTATTTTGAATTGTACGTTGGAATATGTTTTTGAACTTGTAGTCACTATATCAACCAAAGAATTAATTTCAGTTCAAATTCATAAGAGTACAAATTAGTAACTGACAATAATTCAAGATCTTTATAAATAGTACCAATTTTTTTTTTTTACAGATTTCTGATGTAATGTTTATTAGTTATTGCCATACTTGAATATAATCAGACTCTTTTGTTAATTGTTCTCTTTGTCTGATTCTCAAGAGTTGATATCATAATCTAGTTCATGGATTTTTAGCAAGTCTTACTACTATTCTAATATGATGTCCTTTTTTAATTGGGTTCCAGATTCCTCAAAAAAAAAAGTCTTATCCAGGCAGATGTTATACACAGCACGATGGATTTTACAACACAGAAAAAAATATTTTCTTAGATGTGGCACTCACTAACGAAGAGCCTCTTCCTTAAATGAATTGGGTGGTAACTTTCTCTTCTCTCAAGAACTAGAATGGACCCTCTAAGCTCATTACATTCTTCTGCCAATCCTTCCCAAATACAATTTAACAGGTTTTTTTTTTTCTATCATATTTGACTTTATTGCTTTGAAAGTCAATTTAAAGGAAACAAGAAATTCAAAGTTTCTTTTTCAAATTTCTCTTCCCTATGACCATTCTAAAAAAAAATAAAAAACCTCAGTCATTTCAATGCAATACACATGGTGAGCAGGCACTTGTTTGTTCATTTGCCAAAGCTTTTCACTCTTTTTTTCTTTAGAAAGGGTTTTTTTTTTTTTTTTTTTTTTTTTCACTCATCCAGATGAATGCTTGTTGCTTTGTTTTTTTCCATTTGATTTCTCTCTCTTGTCAGTATAACCTCAACAATGACAAGTAAGGAAAAAAACAATACCATTTGTCACAGTAAGTGAATTGTTTTCTGATGACATACTACGCTCGGATCTTGTTTACATTACCATTTCAAGAACTCCCAGTAATTTCCCCCCACCACAATCAGAGATGGTTTTTAGCTCTCTCATAATACATTTTGGTATAGAATCTCTGGGCAAACAGTTGATCTAAGTGGCCAATCTTCTGAAAACACAACCGAGCCTCACTGTCAGTCTCAAAACTCTTTTCTGTTTGAACTAATTTGCTAGATTTCTACTTGTTATATGGAATCTGTTCAAGAAATTCCTCCCCCGCTTCAAGCCCATGTACAGTTCCTCAAAGACCTATTTCTGTCAGTCTTTTATCTCCCCCAAAATAAACTAATCCTAAAATTATTATTGCCTTCATTTTTTTTTTTTTTTTAAATGAATTTCTTTCTTTAATGGAAGTGTATTCAAACAAGAAATGGTACAGTTGCATATTTTATGGAAAAGTGAGCATGAACGTATCGGCCAGAGACTTGCTTCTTGAAGGAAATATTTCCTTAATAATTTAATTCAAAATGAGTCAAGCCAAAAATATACAAGTTATATCATGAAAAAAAAAAAAAAAATTATTTATTAAAATAAAACAAACTCTGGTTTAGACAATGATTGTCTATCATTGAATTGTCTATGATAAATGGAAAACCAAAATTAAAAATATTTCTAAATGCGCACACACACACACACACACCTTATAAATAATTATATTTTTGAATAAAATTTTTCTTGAACTAAAAATGTGTGTTCTTATTAATAAATCAGCTACATTTTAAATGTCCATTTTCTTTCAGCCAAAAAATGTTAAAAAAAAAAAAAATTAACGTTCATCCTAAATGAGGCCGAAAATTCACCCAATGTAGATGGTTACTGCTATATAAGCAGCAACAGTTAAGACATGCAGTTTATGATAGGTGAAAAAGAACTTCAAGTCTAGGATTAACCATTAAGATTGTTGGGGAAATCACATGCTTTTGGGAACTTCCTCTTTACCAATGGAACACAAAGGGAATGATGATGGTTTGACCTTGTGCACGTAGCATGGTTGGTTTTGGCTGTGAGAGTTAGAATTAGGGGAATTACAAAATGTAAATCATTTGAACATTTTCCATGGAATGACAACAGAGTAGTAAGTGGATTGTAACATTTTTATCTGTGGGGGAAAGGGTTAAAATAATTGATCTCTCTCTCTCTCACACACACACACACACTATATTAAGCTCTCCCCTAGATCTCAAGTCTCAATTGGCATTTAAGGCAAGGTCCCTCTTTTAGAGAACACCTATGCATAATGATGCCTGCAAATTCCAGGCCTGCTCAGTGACGATGGAACATTACTAGTTTGGATTTTGAGCTGAGGGTAGAAATAAGCAGTCCTCTACATTTTTGTAGGTGCACACATATCTCACTGTATCGTTTGCATAGATATTTACAAAAGATTTGAGTATGTTCTTGGGAGATCATTAATATAAAGCAGAAAGAAGGTAGGACCAAGAAGCATCTTCTGGGCTTCAGAGGAACTGGCCATTAAAAATGATCTTATCAAGTTCTTCCTATCAGATAGATCCTATAAGTGATAAACTCTCCAGCTATAGAAGCACTGGGAGATTTATGTAGCAACGCCCTATGACACACCCTGTCAAAGGCCTTTTAATGTGATTGTCCTTGTGATGTGTCTATTGCAGAAATTCTTAACCTTTTTTTTTTCTTTACTCGTGTGGAGTCCTTCAAATAGTTTTCATATCTTAAGGAACCCCTGCATAAAAATCATCATATACCATTATTAATATTTTCTTTTATATTTTTGTCCTGTAATTGAGTGAATCTGCCACGTACAATTCCTGTCTATTACTTAGTGAATACAATTTCACAGTGACACCACTAAAACACAAGAGAATGCTGAGAATGAAAAAACTTTAGGATTTGGCTTCTGGTTCCTTTTAAACAGGAAACAAAGGATAGACCTCTACTCCTGTTCAAAAGACTGCCTGTCATTCGATTTGCATTCCTCACCAAACATATCTCCTTTATTATCAAAAGGAACACAAACTTGTTAATAATCACTATACTCCAATCTTGTGAGTAATTAAAACAAAAATCTGTTACCAAATGTACAACATTAGACAAAGAAAAGTCATCTTCAACAATAAAAGAGCACAAAATTCATTATAACGAATAATTCTAAATTTATTGAGAGATAGTAATAATTTTTTCTTTTTCTTTTCAAACAATACCTAGTCTTTTTGCATTTGTTCTTTGATTTGCATAGTTTTTTTTTCTTTTAATAATTATATATATATATATATATTTTTCTTTTGAAATGTTCATTTGAATGTGTCTTATGCTCTACCAACACAACCAAATACATGTTTGAAGATAGAGGAACTGTTATTCCAGTTGTCACACACGCATACTAAGGAGCAAGGAACGCACAAATTCTAAAGTTGAACTGTTCTCATCCTGGTCCTGTGGCAGTTTGGTGAGAAGTGACCACTGGGAAAAGAAAAGAAAAATGATTTGAGTATAAATTTGATATCATGATTTATTTTATTAGCATTTATTTTCAAGTCTTCAAGTGCACATTAAGTTTTTTACAACCTCATATTCCAATATCATAAATTGATGGACTTTTGCCCAAAAACAAAGTAAACCATTTATTTTAAAATCTATTTTTGAAAATGTAACTATATATTAATATGCACTTTTCATAATGCAAACTGCTAAATTTTTGTAAGATTTGAATATTTCTGACAGATTCTTAAACCAATTCTCTGACACAGTGTGCAGATTCCTTTCATACAATTTTTAATAAATTCATCCCCAAGCAAGGTAATGACACCTCCAAGATGGAAAGGGCTACATTGATAAAGAATGAAAAGACTTTAAAAAGGAATAGGAAACAAGGGATAAACCTCTATTCCTGTTCAAAAGGCAAACAGATCTACTGAATCAAAAGGAAAATGGCCCTTTTCTTTCAAAGAATCTAAATACCTGTGGGATCTTTTCTGTTCCTTTTACTAATTTTCATCCCTATACAAGGCTGAAGGCATTTGTTGTGTGAGCAGTAAGAGTGAGGGGCACAATTTATGTGGATATTTGGTAACAATAACGGTTAATGCTAAAAGATTAAGATTATAGAGGTCAGGAAAAGCATCCTCTTGGGATTCTGTTCCACAAAGCAACAGTTCTCGGGAAGAAGCTATTGAAGGGAGTTCTTAACATTTGAGGCACGACAGATAATCAAGAGGTGGAGTCTATCCAAATCAAAAAGGGAGTGGGTGACAACCACCTGCTGTTCATCTCACAATCTATCAAAGGCAAGAGGATAGCAAAACTTTCAATTGGAAAACTAAGTTACTTACCAGCTGATAGTTCATAGAAAATGCTGCTACTTAAATTTTTTTCTTTTTGTTTTCATTTACAGGTGATCTTTTTTTCTTTTTTTTTTTTTTAACAGTGCAATAAATTTAAAAGCACCTAATATATACGTTAAAATACCAACAACAAAGTCAGCTTTTATCCAAGGTTGAGCTTTTTAAGGCAACCTTTAGAAACTAAATAATTGTTATGCCATCCACCTTCTTTGGGTCCATTGATATCAACAGCATTCAGGATAAGCAAGGGATTATCTACAATTGTTGAAATCTTTTATGTTTTGATTTCACAGCTATCTACAACCTTGTCTAAGCATCTTTGTACAGCTTCGGGTGGTTGTGTCTTGAATTCACAGTTGTCCTTCTCCAAGGCTGGTTGCCAACTACGGCAAGAGAGCTCAGTTTGCTCTGCTATTTAACCCATATTTGGGAAGAAAAAGATGGACTTATACATTTTACAAGATTAAACTCAACTTGTCAAATTCTTGTTCTCATTCCATGCTAAAGTGCAAAACTTACTTTAGAATGTGCTGGTCAAAATGAACATAAACAGGGCTTTGATCAGTTGCAGTGAAAATATTAAGCAATAAAGATCAAAATATAAGTATTACCAAAAAAAAAACAAAAATGTGCATGTTGGGGGGAAGAGAACAAGACTTTACTAGAGAATTGGTCGACACAAAATTTTTGTCCAAATAATCTACAGGGTATTGAGACAAGTGTCTCAAATGTTTTCGGTGATGCACTTGAAGACTGCCAAAGAATTCAATTGGTCTTAAAAGACAACAAAAATCTGAATAATGTGCAGAATATTTAAATAAAACTTTCTTGGAGACATTTGTTACTGACTACAAATAATCTTGGCTTTGTAACTGGTTTGAAAATGACATGAGCAATAACTCACCTTCACTTTATCGAGGTAAGTGACTGATTGATGCCAGATATTGGCAAAACGGACAACATCTGGTGAACCCTTGTAGAAATCAACCAAATTTTTCTGAAAGGAGAAAAATAATGATTCTTGTAAGCAACAGAAATAAGGATTAATTTAAGATTACAAAAAAAAAAAAAAGCTACCTCACTATAGTGCAATGGTTAGCAATACTGTTTAACTCTTAAGCTCTAAGTATTATGTCTGGCATAAGGTTACAGTTAACACTATTTGGCATGCATGTGTTATTTATTTATATATAGGGAAAGCAAGATATAAATTTTTATATCATGAACAATTTTAGAAAATGCTTTAATTATTAGTCTATCTACAGTAAATTTGTGTCCATTTTCTTAAAATGTTTCACCATTGTTGACAGATCTTCTGTTATCACAAAAATGTGGGAAATTCAATAAATAAAAAAAAAAAAGAATGGAAACGAATCTAAATGAAATCAGATTTTGATTATAAACCCAAAACACAAAAAAATAAATTTTAAATTCTCAATGTCCTCTTGATTAATTTTCTTTAAAATTACGTACCTCCACAGATTTGCAATACCTAACGTTTAAAATGAAAAAATCTTTCTTAGTTTTAATTTTAAGCTAATAGATTCAATTTATCATTTCCAATAATCAAAATACTTTTTCAAAAACTAATTTAAATTGACTAATGAGTTTTTTTTTTTTCTAAAATACCTGATTAGTGTTCCTTTTTTGTCTTTCATCAAAATGTTAATTCTCTTTATTAAAAATCTTTCAAAAATAAAATATACTTTTCTCTGAAACTTTATTTGAGGACTGTTAACTGATTTAAATTTTAATTAATCTGATTCAAAACAAATATTATTTACTTTAAGTTTAAAATATCACAGAAATCATTTTTTTAACATGGTGGTTGCTGTTTCTTTAAGATGTTGACAAATTTATCTTGTTCTCTTTCTATGGCAGCTTTAGCTGTGAAAAATAAAATACTCAGTAATCTTAAAAATTTAGGAGAACATTCTTCATAATCTAATGTTTTATTGAATTCTAGGTACTTTGGCTTTAAATTTACTACAGTTATTGTTCTTATTTTCTGATAATATCGTGTTTCATGAATTTTTACTAAGCTTTACAATTTATGATTAGTAAATATAGATTTTAATAATATCATCTAAAATAGGTGAAAATGAAATTTTAAGATTTAAAACTTAAATTATTCTAACTAAAAGTTTTTAAAAAATGAAAACAATTCTTGTATAAATTCATTAAAAAAAATTTTTTTCTTAAGATAATAGTCTCCTTAATATAGCTTACTTAGAAAAGCAATTAAAAGCTTTTCTAATTAAATATTTTACTTTTATTGCCTTTTTATTTTATAATTCAGAGCAGGTTTTCAGTAAATGGTGAGCCTGTTTTACAAAAAAAATTGATGATTTAAATTCTCCAAGGAGTTCTGCTTTTAACTAATATAAATTATGAAGAGAGTGTAATTTTAATTTCTCAAACTTTCATAAAATTAAGTGGTGGATAACAGATGTGTGGGGAAAAAAAATTCTAAAATAATTTAATTCATTTGTGAATAAGTCCTGAAAATTTAATTAAAATCTGACAATTATATGATTTTTGTAAGAATTTCCAAATCCATTAATAAAATACTTTGGTCTTATCTCTTCAAGATAACAAAGACCTTGATGTTAAAACTTTGTTTGGATGGTTACCTTTTCTGTTGTAATTGTGTGATGCATATTGTATCATATATATTTAAGTTACGAAAAACTTGCTAATCTGTATGGGTATTCCCAAGGAGGATGAAATCCTAAGAGCTCAATGTAAATTCAGAGCTAATAATTTAAAGAAAGACAGACCACTTTAAGGCTCCATTGTAATAGTTTATTTCACCAGAGACCTTTTAAAGGATGTTGGATCATCAGACATCACTTCCAAAAGGTGAAATGAAAATTTACGCTTTTTACGGGTAGTATTAAATTTATGTAATTTAACAGAGAGGGTAGTGAGGAGTGGTGTGAGACACATGGTCGAGTTTAGAGAGCGTTTATTTTAATATTTCTTTCTATCATACTTAGTATTGAGGAAGGAGGGACCAGACATTGACTTATTTAATCGGTCAACTTAACGGAAATGATATATTGAAAGGGAAGGAGAGAAAAAGAAAAAAAAAAAGAAGGGGGAAGTTAAGAGAAAGGAAATGTATTTAGGGTTTACGGAGGAAGAAGAGGGCTGCTATAGTTTTAGCAATTTAGGTAAAAAAAACAGATTTTGATAGTAATTTTAAATGTTTAAAAAAAATCCACAAAGAAATTAATTTAATGCTTGTTCACAATTTAAATATTTAACTCTTTTACAAATAAATTAGGGATTTAATATGAGTTAAATACTATATTTAAAAACACATTAAAAAAAATATTTAAAATATAAAAGTTTACTGATAGTAATTTTTTAATATTGTAAATGACTGTTAAGGTAACATGTTTATCAGTTTGAGTCTAATTCATGAATGTAATCTGTAACTATTATATATATATATATATATATATATATATATATATTCAACAGGAATCGTTTATATCCTCAAGTGAGCTTTCTGGTGTCTGTATTAAGAGAGGAAATTACCACACTGATATATATTGTTTTATTCTGAGTACTTTCAACATTAACACAATGTCATCCTCAAGATGTGTTTTTAAGACAAAAATGTAGTGTTCATTATTTCCAGACAAAATTTGCTATGTTCATCTGAAAGTTATAATTTTACATGTGGAGTGAGGACTGCTAGTTTATTATATGTCATGCAGTCTATGGTACACTTTAAGGGCGGTAACTAATTATGATGTAGAAGAAAGTAATATGAGAAGCTTATATAGACCTTGATATTTTAGTCTATCTATTTTAAACATCTCAGAACATTTGTGCAGTATTCATAATTAATTTTGTTAAGGCTTGCTTTCAATTTTTTTTTAATATTTTTAGTTTATTTTCATGAGGATGTATAGATGTATTTTCAACATGAATTTTCTAAATTGCAAATGTGAACAAATATGTTGTAATTTCTTTCACAAAACAGATCTTCTAAATTGAACTTAAAAACAAAAAATGCCAATATAAAGCAAATTGAATATCATACTTCTTCAATTAACCCCAAACATATTAATCTTTTATATCATAATTAAATGCATTCTAATTCTTAAAAAGATGAAAATATCAAAAAAAAAATTAATAAATACAAACTTATCCACCACAGACACAAGTAAAAAATTAATTATATACAACACTAAATCCAGTATTTCCAATTTAATTATTCGTAATGACTCTTTCCCCATCAACTAACGTGTTGCAGAAAACCAACATTGTATATAAATTGGGAAATTGTATCTCCAACAGAAAAAAATAATATTTATGTTGGCCACATTACAACCACGCTATCTTGGTGGTTGAGTTTTCATTTGAATGATATGCCTAACATCTCTAAACATTTACAACAACATACTTGTCCACATTTGCAATTTAACTGGGGAGAGAAGAGGTGGATTCATACTTTTCCCAACAATATATTCACATAAATGAAAAAATGAAAATAACAAATCCACCAAGAATTAAAACTTGGCTCTCCAATTCCATGCTGTTAGCTAATACACCACCTGGTATTTTTTTTTTTAAGCATTTCACCCTAAGCAAAGTGGGAGTGCCACTAACACACAAGAAGGAGTTACAGAAAGTGAGAGCAAGAGTAAGGGGGGGTGTTTGAGGAAAGGATATAGAGAAGGATGGGGATCAGGATCAAGGCATCAGAAGATGGCGATTGACATTACATTTGAATATTATAGCTATCATGGAAGCAAGTGGGAGGAAGGGAGTTCCACTGGTGGAAAGTGCGAGTCCAAGGCTGACTAGGCTTTAATGTTGCTTGACTTTGGTGATCATACAACAACCAGTGTTTCAACCTGATATTGTCGTAAGCCGGTGGGTGTTTGAAAACAATTGTGTGGGGACCGACAGTGCTTTAATTTAGAAGTTGAACTTGGGCAAATGCTATGATAAATTTGATACAGGGGTGAATTTTAGACTCTCAGAAGTTGTGTTCACTTATTCATGACTCATTTAACCTGAAAAGAATTTTAGGATAGTAGATGGCGAAAAGAAATTGCTGAGAACATCAAATTCAGTTATAAATCAGCAAAGATGCAAGCGCACTTTGTAGTAACATAGCTGTATATGGGGATTGTGCTGACTAATATCCTCATCTTTGTTATTTTGTTTTTCCATGCGATTTCAAATGTGCAGACACCGTGACGAGCATCAATGCAGAAAGTGGAATCAGCATGTTGCGTTCAAAATTTGGCGTGGTCTGGTGCATTCACTTTTGCACAAATGTCCTTGGGAAAGACAGGAATCCAATCCTCCTCTTCCCAGCTAGAGGGTTAAATAGAAAGGTAGATTGGATTATCTAGCCTTCAAAGGTAACCAGTTTAGAAGAATGAAGTCAAAATCTGTGGAAGGCTGTATGGAGACTTTGAGGAACACTATGCACCATTTTCTCTGTTCTCTGTTCATTTTGAAAAGTACGGCCGATTCTAAACAATATTCAAATCACTTGCGTAGGGTGTCTAGTGGTTCCATTCAAAAATTAAACAGTTATATTGAAATTGATGGGAAATTTATATAAATTTACTTGAAAGAGCTACCTAACCAACCTAGGAGACCGTTGAAGTTCAAATTTTACATCCTAACGAAATTCTATGGCAAGATTTTATCTCCTCTTAGCGTTTATCACCTCATCCTCTTCATTTCTTTTCCCTTCCCCCTTTTTTTTCTTTTTCCCTTCCTTTTCATTCACCCATAACAACTTAATGCATTAGATTCCCATCCATCTCTACATGTAAATTCTAGAAGACATTTTATGAAAATTTTCAAAGAACGGAAGTGGGGGATATTTGCTTCGATAACTGTATTTCTGAATAAAAACTTTTAGTAACACCGTGATTTCCCACCTGATGAGATGTTTAAAAAAGGTTTTCCCTTTTTTTGACGTTGAAACAAAAATGTACAATTTTGTAGTGGATATGTGCATGTTCTAATGTAACACTGCATAAGAAATAAATAAATATTTACGGTTCTACTTTGTGTATTGAGCACAGTTTTAAAATTAATGTTTTGAATGCTGTAATCTTACTGTTCGTTCTCCCACACTTTGATATATATATATATATATATATATATATATCAATGTAAAATCACTGGCCATTCATATTTGAGGATACCCATCTTCTAGGGCAGTTAGCCAATCCCTATTGCAGATGCTCGCTCAGGCACATTTGTGTTTGCTCAACACACACATAGCCAACCTGGGGTTTATACTGCTACTATGCTGAGCAGACCTTAGTTACAGTTTCTGGGAGAGAGTGTGTTATCTAGCGTGATCAAAAAATTGAACAAAGCCAGCACACTCAAACCCTCGGCCACGATGCCTTGTGGCTTCATGCTAGCACAGTTATTGACGGCCCCCAAGAGTTCTGTCTACCCAATTTCATGCACAGGGCTTGGGTCTACCCATGGTATAGTTTTCAGGCTCTTTCCAAAGGTGCCGCACGTTGTGATCGACCTTGATCCAGTCTGATAACATCAGGAAGTCTTCTTCCTCACAAATTGACCATGGTGAGATTCAAACCTGGGTCTCATGGTCATATATATATATATATATATATATATATATATATATATACACACACACACACATATATATATATATATATATATATATATATATAGATAGATAGATACAGGTTAAGGTACTGCAGTTAAGTTTTTTATTTAATTTTTCTTGTGTTCTTATAACTTTCTATTTTGAGAAGATTTTCTACGTCCAAGTGCTTTCAGCTATGCTTTTAGACATTATGAAGGATTATTTTATTTTTACTTTTAACTAAATGTATGGATTTTTATGTTTTGTATTGTTGAAAAAAAAAAAAAAAAAAAACTTTCAACGCAGTAAAAGGGTGAGGAAAGCCAGAAGAGAGCAGCAACAGCCTGGCAAGGGTTGCAAAAGGAGGAGGAGTCCTCCTCTTGCGACCCGCTCCAACTAGGTCTAGTAACTGAGAAGAAAAAAAAGTAATAATATTTCAGCACGACAATTAACCAGTCACACGTTGGCTGGTAGAAAAAAGGTTTGGTGAGAGTACAGAGGATGATTTTTATAAGGAGGCCAACCCGCTTCCCACAATCCTCCTCCTACCAAGACCATAAGTATCAATTGGTCACTTGCTTCCAGTTTAGCTGGGCACAATTGCCCCGAGGTTGAAGACCACCCGTCCGTAAATACCACCCCCCACTATTCCTCTTTCCTTTTCTTCACAGTATGTAGAGTTATAGGAATATAAGAACTAGTTTTATTTTCCAAACATGGTCAACACATTGTGTCCATTTTCATAGTTGATGTTATTGAGTGTTGGCTTTTTCATTTTTATTAATGATTCCATCATTTTTAGCATTTTTATATGTAGATGAGGCTATTATATTTGTATTGTCTAGGTCTATGTTACAGATGGAGTTTGGTAAATCTCCATATGTATTTAAATGAAACCTAACTGAGCTATGGTAAGAGAGATGTAACATGCATCAATATTGTCACAATTCCTCAGTTTTGGGACACTTACAGAACAAGACAATAAATGAAGAAAGGTGAATTGAAATAATAATAATAATAATAAAAAGTACAGGTGAGACATCCTACCATTTCTGTCAGCAGTTCTTCTGTTAACGATGGATTCTGATAGATGGAAAACTGTACCTCCATCGGAATCCCATAATCTGAGGGCTGCTGGAAAGAAAGAAAAAAAAATGCAAACTTGCATTTCAGATTTTACAAGCATCATTGCCAAATACACTTTGCTAATAATAGCTTACAACAGGAAAACAGAAACATTTGCTTATTTACTAAAGAAACATGTGAAGGAAAAAATGTTTAAGAAACAAATCAAGTATTTTTTATGGGAGATCAAGGATCACAAAATGCAAAAAAAAAAAAACTGTTTTTTTTTTTAAGTTAAACTTAAGTTAAAAACATTCCATTAGCAAACACCATATTTCCACATATACTCAATCCCCCACTACCGACTATCAAGAAGTAATTTTTAAATATGCTTCATCATGGAATAAGCCTTCACAATTCAAAAAGTAATTTTTAAATAATTGCCTCCAATCAAATAAGACCTCCTTTCATAATTGGGAAATGTTTTCTGTTCCTTTTCAACATTGATTGATTGTTTTTTTACAGGTTATCAACCCTTTGTAGGTTATTTAAAACCAAAACATATTTGGAATTTCAACTGGCCACCAGGTATGAATTCATGTACTTGTAAAATCTACACAAGTAACTCTTATATTCCTCCTGTAATTTATCCTACTTGGTAAATTAAAATCACAATTTCTATTCCAACTGGCCAGAAAGTATAGTTCCACTTACTTGTAAAATCCATACCAGTAACTCAGTTACACTAATAAGTATTATAGTCTTTACTTTTCTACTTTTTTTCTTTTCATTTACTCTTTTCCTTTTTTCATTTGAAATGAATAAATCATTTTAATATTCAGCAACTGTTAAGATTTTTAAAAAAATAACCTCCAGCAGGATTTGAACTTAAATATCTTATCTTTGGGAACCTGCCTAATGTAATAAAAAGGCTAAATATAAAAAAATTCAGATTTAGCTCAGTTAAGCAAAATCAAGTTATTTATACAAAATAGAAACCCTACAAGGCTAATGGCTGGACACATGGTCACATGATCAACTCAACCAATCAAATTCAAGTACTTACCTCCATAGGAGGTGGCATTACCCAGAAGGCTTGAAATGTGGACTCCTTCTTTTTTGAAGTTTTATCATAGGGTGCTGCAAAAGGAAGATATGAAAAAAATGAATTTATCCATTAAAAAAAAAAATAGTCAAAAAAGTAAGAAGCCTGATGCTAATGTAAAAGGCAATCAAACTTTAAGGGGATTTTGATTTTAACTTCTGTTTTATAAAACTATATATAGATATTTATTAAGATAAACTTGTATAGTGGGATGTCAATTTTCCAAGCACGAATTTAACTTAATTTCAATTTATCCAAATAAAATCTGATAAATTTCATTTCTGTTTCCAAATTTGTGAAGAGAAAGTGGATGGTAAAATTATTCATGAGAGTCAACCACTTGAAACACTATTGAAATGATGGCAATGTTTAACTTTTGCACCTGCAATAAAATGGTGTGTTAAAAGAAAAGTTTTTTACTTGACACTGCTGTTAATTTAGTTATCTTTACTCCCTCAGACATGTTTACTGTTTTAAAATGCAATGATTAGAATTTTAATAAAATCCAAACATGAAAGTGAATTTATATATTTTCTTTGTTCTTTGAGAATTTACAACAAAAATATTAAAAACTATTTATTGGATTGTTTATTTACAAGAATAATTTTATATTTACAACATTCTAATACAATGCGATGTTTATCATTTATCAATTTATAAATAAATAAATATGAAAATATTTTTTTATTCATAAATTTATAAAATATTTGTCAGACATGAAAATTTAAATAATAATGATAACCATAATTATAAATTTTGAAAAAAATTCTTTTTCCAGGAATATTTTTCATGCAGAAATTCATTGATATCTTTTTATAAAATGATGAATAAAAAATTGTTTTCGTAGTTATCTATAAAAACGGTAAATAATTTTTTTTTTTTTTTTTTAAATCAATTCATACAACAATGACACTAAAATGCAAGGGGCTACTTGGAGTGAAAGAGAATGAGAAGACTTTAGAAGATACCGGAACAGGGAACAAACCTCTACTCCTGTTCAAAAGAGATTGGAGGAGTGTGAACCAGCAAACTTATTTACTCTTATTAAAGAGAAAAAAACAGAATGAAAACAAATAGTAAATAAAATTTCAGAGTTCAGGTGGAGACGTTAGAAGTATAGAGTTGAAGTAGACTTTAGAAGGATCTGGAAACCCAATCCTAAACAGGAAGCAAGGGATAAACCTGCACTCAACTGACTTGGCTCTACTCCATTCTTCTGTGCCAATTCTTTTCCATTTTTTTTACAATACAAGGCCCAAGCGCCACTCAATGAAGAGGGTTACTGTGTGAGGTTTCATTAGTGAAATAAAGAGCAAGAAGTAATGTTCATAGGTCTATGCAGGGAGGATAAAGGCTAACTCTAGATTTGAAGCAGTCAAGATTTAATTAATGAATAACATTTCAGAATTCAGGCAGAGACTTTAGAAGGAACTGGAAACCCAATCCTAAACTGCAAGGAATAAACTTCTACTCACATTTAAAAGACTTTTGTGTGTGAAGTGCAAACAAGTAAATATTGTATTGACGATGCTTTACATATTTCGATAATTTAAAAAATAATTTGTGAGTAAAATTTGTCAGATTTCTTTTCGCATTTATTTCTTTATAAAATGGTAAATACTAAATATTGCATTGTACCTGTTCCCATATTTTTATAATCTTGTAAATAAATATTTTGCTGAGGGAGTGAAGATAGTACAAAATAATAGTGGCATCAAGGAAAAAATTGTCCTTTTGACATACACCATTTTTTTTTGTTGGCATGAAAGTTAAATTTACCAAAATTATTTTAACTGAAATAAAAAAAAATTCAAATGAAGCATTTGAAAAAGGATGACAAAATATACATGATGATCTCTTCATGAACTGCTTAGTTATTTATAATAACATCAGGATTCTTTGAATTTTCAATGTGATTCTTTTTGTGAAATTTTAAATTTTTTATGCAATAACCTGTTTTTGTTTGTTTTATCAAATGAATGAAAGAAACAAAATTATATTTGCCTGTCTCTTCTGATAACCAACGTTCTATGGCAAAAGGAAAATTCCAAGGATCAGTTTGGTTTATTTAAAACTTTCCAACGTATTTCAGTAAAATTTCCCCTTTCCAAAATTATTTTTCTTATCTAAATCTATCTTTATAAATCTACTATTCATCCTTGCTTTGAATATTGCTGCCACATCTACTCTGGTGCTTCTGCTATATATTTAGAGATTCTTGATGAAATCCAACTGCAATGCTATTGCTACTGACCTGGCATCTTGGCTTCAATCACTTTCCCACTACTGTAACATAGCTTACAGATACATCACACTGTTTTCCATATGATCACCAATGTTAAGCAATGTCAAACCTGGTTAGTACCTAGATGGGTGACTACTTGGAAATACCAGGAGTTGTAATCTTGGATGTGTGAGTGGTGTAATGGATAAGGGCTTGGAATGGTTAATCAGAGAGCCAAGTTTCAATTGGGTTCATTATATTCACTTATGCAGAAATATCTTTGGGAAAAGTATGAATTCACATACCCCCAACTATGGGTTAATTAGTAAAACATGTCTCACTAAACCATTATCTCAAAAACATTTCTTGCAATTTAAAAATGTTTTCTAGCTTTAAATAACCTGCAAGTGGTTGATAAGCCATAAAATTTACCTACACCAGTATGTGTGTGTGTGTGGGGGGGGCATGACCCCCACCAAGCATCTCTAACTTCCTAATGAACCTCCACCTCTGTGACATAATCCTTATTATTCAAAAAGTGAACTCCTATTACATGGAGGAAGCCTAAAAAGCCATTAACTTGTTCAAATAAACTTCCAAAAAACATGGCATCCATGAAAGAGAAAAATAAAGGAACAAAAAGACAATTAAATTACTGAGGAAGAAATTGTTTAAAAAAAAAAAAATAATATATATATATATATATATATATATATATATATATATATATATATATATGTATGTGCATACTGTATATGCACCATATGTATTAACTCATGTTCACACAGACTCAATAGAAAAAAAATTCTTTTAAATAAATTCATTCTTAAGTTGACCGTCTTAAAAATCAAAGTGCACCCTGCATTGGAAACCAAAGACCCTAGTAGACTCTACTAATTTAAGTGCAATACTAGATTGGTGGCAAGGTCTCATCATTTTACAGTTGTAGATATAACCGTAAGTTCTATTCTAACAGTTTCTTTTCTCGCACTTATCACTTGTGGAACTCTTTTCTGCCTTTTTGCTTTCCAGTCAATTTTGATCTTCAAAAATTTAAATGCAATGTCAATTGTTATCTTCTGTCTTCTTAATTCTTGTTCCTTTATTCATGCTCCATAACAATTGTTTTTTTTTTTATATTCTTTCACACTCGTTAACCCCCTGCATCTTGTTCACACTCGTTAAACCCCTGCATCTTACTGAATTTGTTGCCTTGCTTGGGGTGAAATGATTAAAAAAAAACAAAAAAGATCATTTGGAAAAGGCATCAATTTGAACTGATAGCAGGCACATTTAATCCATAGCTTCTTGACATCTATTTAAACTGATGACTTCTTTTTGTTTTTCTGCATTTTATTTGATTTCAGATCCACTTTTGTTGAGTTATTTAATGATGTGTACAATTGAATCATACAATGAATTAATAGATAAAGATAGGTGTAGATCCAGTTAACAATTAAGTCAAAAGGGTAGGCAGATGTCCGGTTTCAAAAAGGTTGACATAGTTCCAAGGCGAATGGTCAGTTATTGGACAGAATGCCTTGTGGGCATGGTATTCTGACACTGATAGATTGCCTTTGTCTGAGTTTGGGATATAAATCCAAAACAGTATGAATTCAACAGAGGTCCACAAGAATTCTGAAGTGTTGATACGCCTCCACACCCAGTTTAGCGACTGGCTAAGACCACCTGTGAAGGGACGCTGAGCCAACATGCGATATATGTTACTTTGACGTCATTCCTCCCACTGACTCTTAGAATCCAAGATGCTACCATTCTCTCATAATAAAATGAAAAAGAAATGGTCCTTTTCGTTGATACATTTTATCTATTAGCATGGAGACCCAGAGATGATACAAAATGCAACAAAGAGTGTCATCTTCTATTAGGGTAACCGTAGACCCTCATGTCTCTTTACAGACCCCAGCAGAAATTGCTTGTCCTTAATGTCCTCCTACACCTATCCCTGTGAGTAGCCCCGAGTCATATTAGTGCATGAACTATTGTTTGGTGATTTAAGGTATTGAGAGATTTAGTAATCCTGAGTGAAAGAGTAGAGATATTAGATGAAAAAAAAAATACAGGACAGTGATTAATAAGGTTAGAACCTGATGGAAAAAAATGTTCAGTTTAAAAATATTAATTTGAACCTATAAAATACTTGTGAAGAAGGCTTTGAGAAAATTTCAACCTAAAATAAATAATTCAGTAAAATAGAATATAACTGAAATTCCCAGGTTAAACCCACAGCCCTCTGAGACAGTTATGATATAATGTTTGCTAAAATTCTGCAAAACTCATACAGAATTGGGAAATGTCATTTTCAGAATCCTATGTGATTTATGGTAGAAAGCTTCCCAAAATGTATGGCTTTGAGTATTTTACAAGCATGAGTTATGTACTATGCTAATAGGAAGCGTTTTGTTTAACAAAGATGGTCTTTCTGTGTATGACTAATTAATCAAAATCCCAGTGCACACTTTTATCCATATAAAAGTGAATACAAATGTCGTTTTCTCAGTTCATGCTTGGCAGCCAGGAACAACATTGCCATCTGTTTTTATCAAAATTCTTGCAGCAGCAAATTTGCCAAAACACATTTTGCCCTCTTAATATCTGAAGGAAAGAAAAGAATTTACTGAAGCCGAACCACTTGAGTGGGATGCTTACTACTTTTATATATTCTCATCAGTAATTAATAAATTGGTGATAGCTTTATCAAAAGAGTTTGTCCTTTACTGCTAGAATTTCCCCCATTTCAGGAAAATTGTTCCAGAATTAAGAAAGTTGCTAGGATCCAAAAACATTGCATTGACCACAAAACAAAATATATCGCTTGTTGGAATGAATGAATGAATAAGAAGATATATCACATCCTAACAATGTAAAGTGTTATGGTAATTTACGCATGGACCCTCCCAGCTATAAATAGGAGCAGGTACTGCCTTTTGTGAGAGGGAAGTTTCCAGCAGTCAGCTCTGACAGTCGGACCAAACATTCTTGCTGTAACACTCTCGTTTGCATATGTTTGTATTACTGTTTCTGTTAATATATTTGTTTAAATCAATTCCTCTCTTTGTGTCTTTATTTCTGGGCCTAACAAAACCACAACATAAAGCAAGATTTCCACTAGATGACATAGGTCTGGTGAAAGAAATGAATGATGGAAATAGCCAGACCTAATTCATGCATCCTTCACCAAACTGTAATACTGATGTTGGGATTACCAGCTAAAGTTTATGTTAAAAATATGGTGACCAGTGACTTTCAACCCCTCAAGTGTTATATTTGGTGACATGACCACTTCATGTATTATATCTGTACCTGTGGATTACCATTTATTTTGATCCCTGCAAAATTGTCTTAACAGCAAGAACTTCAATTCTATGGAAGCTTGTAAAAAACGCCTTAGACAAGTTCATCACCCAGAAAGATGTCAGGATCTGGGAGGAGGGAATCATGAAGCTTCCTCAAAGATGGCAAAAGCTAGTGGAACCAAATGCTGTATATGTGGTTGAATAAATCAAGGTAGAAATATCGAAATATTGTCTTCAAAATTTAATTAAAAATGATACAAACTATCTAATCCTACATAATTTTATGAAAAAAAGAATTTGTTTTTTTTGGGGGGAGGGTAGCTATATTGCTAACCCTATACCCTCTTGGTATCAGTTTAAATTATTAAATATGCTAATCAGTTTAATATATTAAAGAAATATATAATTATTGTTAAGCTTACCCCCCCCCACACTCTTGGCATCAGTTTAAACCAATGCTGCTTTTTTTCTTATATATTCTGGCCATTTTGTTTAAATTAATCTTTTCTTGATTTTTGATGAAAACTTACAAATTTTCAAATATATATCAGTGAAATTTTCACATTCCAAAATTGAAATTCATGAGTATGGTTTAGATATATTGAAAAAATAAATAAATAAATAAAGTGTCAGTTGAAACTGATGCCAGGATGTTTCCTAAGTTTGAAAATATGTAAAAATCTTTGGAAGTAATTACACACATAAATAATTTTAATATGACTGAAAAATGGCACTGAGAAACGAAGACATTAACTAATAGGTACTGACCGATAATAAAACCCAGGCATGGGTGGTACGTAGATCCTATACCCTTCATTTTCAGCTGGTAGGTCATCTGACAGTCAATGTCACGTATAGTGGGACTGGCTGGACGGTGTGGGTGGCTGTGATACCATCCAACCAATGATAACCCTGATTTATTCATTCGATGTCGTATCTAAAATTAAAAAGAGAAATCTATGCAACTCATTGGATCATATGAACAACACAATAAAATCATACACAAAAACTGTATAACATAAAAATTTATATAATAAAAAAGAAATTAAATAAAATTCTATAAAAATAATTAAAGGGTAAATATAAAAAAAATACAATAGATCAGGTTTGTTTATTGTACTTCCTTTTGAGGAGAGTTTTTTTTAAAAAAAAATAATTATAAAAAGAAAGCCAAGCTTAGTAAAAAATGACTTGAATAAAATTTGGATTTCAAAATTTGTCACTTCCCCTGCAAAAAAACCCAAAAAAAACCACCAAAATAAAGCCTGGCAGTTTATAAACAAAAAAAGATACATGTATAAAATTTGTTTTTCAAAAAATTTATGGTTTCAAAACCTGCCAAACTAGATTGCAAACAAGTATGGTTTAAAGAGATACATTTTGTGACTAGTGGGGAAAGTAAATTACACCCACATAATTTTCAATTTATTAATTCCATTTCGAGCCGTTTTGTGGCTATTTAAGAAGTCTGGTTTTTCTGACAGACAGAAGACTTCTGGCTTTCACAGGTGAATGACTGAGGACTATTTCTGGGAACTGAACAAAGAAAAACTAAAAATTTAATAATGTCACTGCCATTGCTTACATTGAAAAGGAAATAATGGAAGAAGAAAGGGAAGAAGCACAAGATTAGAGAGAGATATATGATTATCATTCTATAGTTATTTGTGGAAGTTTGTTACAAAATTTAGAGGTAATAAATCCTGATTTTGAACTTATTATGAAAATACGATATTTATCTAATTTTTGAAGCTCAGTTTGTAAAACTATTGTCTAATAAGAAAATAACCCCCCCCCCTGGATTTCAAAGAATCACTTAAAAATTGAAGGTTAGGGTTTTTCAAAACTAATTTGCTAGCTCACTTCAGGCCAGAGTGTCTTTTTCTTCCTGAAGGGTTTTATCGTATCTTCAATAAGTTAAAATAATACAGTTATTGTGGCCACAGCAATGAAACTGTTCTGGGTAAGTGGTGATTGCTTATTTAAAAGTGAAGATTTTCATATAAGGCTATTTGTACATATTGTACACGCACACACACACACACTCATTGGAACCACTCTCTGTTTTTCAAAGAATTAACCTAAAAATTGAACTAATTTACTAGCTCACTTTGGGCCAGAAGAACTCTCTTCCTGAAGGATTTTATCACATATTCTGTAATAATAATAATGATAATAATAATAAAATTAACATATTGCTGCATAAAGTTTCTTTAAAACATTAGCTCTTTTGGCCTAATCAACTTAACTGTAATCTAAACACATTTTAAATTTTAGATCCCCCCCCCACTCTCTAAAAAAATTGAATGGCATACACTAATGTGTTAAATAGTTCCAGCATCTTTGCTTAGTAAGAGTTAATTAAACCAAAAAAAGTATGAAACTTCCTATTAAATCCAGAAGGTGTCTGTAATCTTTTGGCCTATTGTGTATATTATACAGGTAAAAATAGTTGTGTAAAAATTGCTCTAAATTAGGTCAGAGCCTCATTTCCACTTTGATTCTTTTGTCTCTTGATTTCTGTGCCTAGTATTTAATATTTATATTTTATGATGGTAACCATTCTCAGAAGAGCTCCTGTCTATCATGGACATTTGCCTTAACCAGTTAGTCAACCACCAATAAAACTTCTAACAAAAATTACACAAAATTCATAATCCTTCCCTCCAACAATCTTTCTACTAAACTTGCAAACAAATTAGTCATTCCTAATACTAAGATCATTACCACCACCACCAATTGGTGACATAATTAGAAAGAAAAATAAACCCAACACAAATTCAAATGCCAGGATTTATCAAATAAATTGTTTACAATGTAAAAATGTTTATGTGGTGGAGACATCACGTGATCTAAAAGCCCGCATCCATGAACACAAGAGAGACTTGCATTTAGACAATCAATCTAACTCTTGTTTTGCATCAAAACGATGTTCGACATAACTTTCATTTCACTAATGTCACCCTAATTAAAAAGGAACATAATTCTTTAAGGAGAATATACATTGAAAACTTAATAATGACATTATTACCAACTATAAACACATACCTAAAACATTACATTACCTTGCCATCTTTCTTTGAATCCGTTTTTTAAAGAATTTAACTTAGATCTATTTAATACAAAGAATACATACTTAAAGAGGCAAGCCATAAATTAGAACCTTTTGACTCCCTCTTGCACAGTCTAACCACACAAAGGTAAAGATAAAACCCTCACTAGACAGACACATGCACACAATTACAAATACACATTACCATCCATTGACTAATTAGGCATACAAGAATCTTTAAAGTATAGTTAAAATAACTAACGTGATTTCAGGCATTACTGTAAATCAGTTGGCAAATGTTTTCCGTGAACTGCAAAATCGTATTACCATTTGTATTGCTAATGATGGAGGACATGTGGAAACTTAAATAAAATTTTAATAAAACCTTAAAAATATAGATTTACTTCTTTTTTTTTTACAAATTATTTCTATCGCAAATACAAATAAAGTTATAAATTTTTTAAAGTGCACACGAACTTTATGGACGCCCTGTGTGTGTGTGTGTGTGTATATATATATATATATATATATATATATATATATATATATAGAGAGAGAGAGAGAGAAGAAATAAAATACAGTGTGTCTGGTAACTCACCTCTGCTTCTATCAATGGGGCATTTTCCTTATCTCCCAACCGACTCAGGCAGGGAAAGGCTTGCAGAATGTTCAAATCTGAAATAAATAAACAAACCTAAAAAAAGTCCATTTCCAACAGAAAATAACTTCCCTATGCAATTTTTCAAATAAATATTCTATCTGATGTTTTGAAATAAAAAAATGTTATTATTCCAAAATTTGAATATCCTCATTTTTATTGTTTTTATATTTGCATTTCTGTCATTGCATTCTGCAGCTTCCTTTATTTGTTTGATATTCTGAGATGATTCAGACTAATATCCTCATCTTTTTCTTTTTTAATTAGTATGTTTTGACCTGTGTACTCTTTTGGTCTTCCTTGTACTGTTTAAAGTTTTCAATTCTCCACTAATTACTTAGACGAGTATCCTCGTGTCTGTTGTTTTAGTTTTATTTATCTTTGATTTTACCCAAGTTTATGTTGTATATGGTAAGTCTTAAATACGGCTTAAGACTGACCTTTTTTCACCATTGTGTCAGAATTCTTCCAAAAAATAACTGTAACCATCCTGAAAAAATTTTAAACTCTCCCAAAAGATTAACTCAAGACTTAAAGACCCTGGCCTAGTTGGTAAAAAGCATTGATTTGTGAATTTGGTGACAAAGTGGTTGTGAGTTCAATTCCTTGGTTTGGACTGTGTTTACTTGAACTCAGTAGAAACGGGTAAGCAAAAATAAAGGTTCAGTTTGGAATTCCCTGTAGATTACCCAGATTGGCATACAGCTGAAGAAGTCCGGAGGATGTAAAGGTCGAAACATTGTGATAAAAGCAACAAAGATGAGGACAATAGTCCAAATATAAATAGTGTGAATAGACTTAAGGAGATCAATATTGTAGTGATTGGGAAAAGATCTTGCTATGAGTTTGTTCCACAAAGCAACAGTTTTTGGGAAGAAGGTGTCCAAGTTGAACTTCCTCCTTATTATGAAGGGAATGAGGATGATTCATCCTTGTGTGCATGGATGGTGGGTCCCATTTGCAAAGGTTAGGGTTGGTGGAACCAATGAATTTAGGTCAGCAGAACATGTCATAGAAATGGTGATAGAGTGGTGAGAAGCTTGCAATATTTTGTCTGTAGAAAAGGGCTTGTAGCGTGGAGAATCATTTATCACCCACAAGGCCGCATAAACTGTTTTGAACTCAAGACAGGCAAAGTGAGGACTGGGCAACTGGAGCCCAAATGTGGCAGCAATATTCCACTTCTGGTCTGATTGAGCTCTTGTAGATAGAGTATAGCAGATGGAGTTCGATACTCTTATTGGATCCATATAAAGAACTGACCATTTCTTGAGCATCTTTAGCAATAGAACATATAAATTCCATTTGAGGTCTGGGGAGAGCTTGGGTTCCAATAAAAAAAATTCATTCTACTAAGTTTCATAAAAGCCTAAAGTTTCATAAAAGCCTATAGAATAAAAAATATATATTTATATATTATTGGTTATAAACAGTTAAAGATAATTTATTTTGGAAATCGTTTCTGGAAAATGCCGTAGTAATTTCACATGAAAATAAACCCTAACCTTTTAGCAAAAAAAGAGGCTTGTACTTACGCTGTGTGTTTTGGTCCCATCTGCCAGCCAAATATCCCAACACTTCACTGTTTGTCAAATGACAATGAAAATCCTGACAACAAAAAAACAAAATACTTAGAAAAGAAATAATTCAAGTAAATGAAAAAAAACCAACTGAGTCAACTCATCTTCACTCCCTTCATATACCATTAGTAAGGAGGAAGTTCTATTCAAACAGTTTCTTTTCCAGAACTATTGCACTATAGAACAGATTTCTGAAAGAAAACTTCCCCATTCACTACAATCTTAATTTCTTCAAGTCAACCATTATCCATCCTACATATCCTCAGGATATGTACCTCTTGCTCCCTCCTTATACACTCTTGCAACAACCTTATTCAGTCACCATCTACATTGAGTTGCTCTTGTATTGAGTGAACTAAAAAAAACCCCAAAAAACCACTATTTTTATAAACTAGAATTCATCCAATACAAAGTATAGGGTCACTGATAAAATGGTAATGATTTTTTTTCACTCTATACAAGGCCCGGGAGCCACTCTAAGTAGAGGGTTACAGAGTAAGAGGCACACGCAGATAGGAGGGGAAGATAATGGTTAATCCTAGACTTGAACAGGTTAAGATTGTAGTGATTGAGGAAGCATCCTCTTGGGAGTCAGTTCCACAAAGCAACTGTTTGTGGGAAGAAGCTGCTTGAGTAGAACTTACATCTCACTAATGGAATCCAAAGGCAATGAGAGTCATTCGCTAAAATGTACATAGTGGGTTTGATCTGTCAAGGTTAGAACTGGTGGAATTAAGGAATGTAGTTCATCTGAGCACTTTCCCATGGAAAGATGAATGCTTTTTGTGACATGAATGAAAAAGGAGACAGTTGAAAGTGAAGATTATGAGGATGGGGAGGATAGAAAATGATTGTCCTTTGACTTGAGGAGGTTAATATTTGTAGTGTTTATGGAAGCACCTATGTGGGAGTTGAACACAGGAGCAGTTCTTAGAAAAATGCTGAGTGGAGTTTTTATTTTTTTTTTACACTTAAAACATGGAGGAAAGGAGGGTGCTTCATGTTTGTGGAAGAGGCACAGTATATGTCCTAGGGAATAGCAACAGGCCTGCCACTTTGCGTCTCTGGGGAAAGAGGCTGCAGAGTGGGAAATAAACCATCCTCCACAGGACTGCATAAATGATCCAGCCCAGACAACAAGATTTCATTTTTGGTTTAATCTGTCTCTTTAATTTAATGCATGTCAGAAGGGGGTCAATACTTCTTGGAATAATAAGTGGGAATATTAGCCATTTCTCTACAAGGAAACATTTGGTATTAACTGACCAAGCAGCCAGTACTGTTTTTGGTTGAATTTTATGAAATCATTCTCTTAAAATACTTTTTTTGAGGAAAACAGGTTTCCTTTTCTCACTCTTTCCAGTATTGATGCAGGTTTCCTTCTGAATCTTCTATTTGACATGATGTTGAATGTCTGCTGTAAAGTAGTTTTCACAGTGGAGGCTTGTATTTCACTAAGTCGCTCCTAAATTAGGTTCGACGTACAAAACGTTAGGAACTTGAAAATAATGGTAAATGACGCAGCAATCTAGTTGTGGTGGATTGATACTTCAATGTCCGACATTGACTGACTCCCTCAACTCTACTGAGCCCAACTGGCAACCGCTACTACTACTTATTATGTGTGGGAGAGTCTATTACAATAGAATAGGTAATGATCTAGTATAACAATGTCAACATCTTGATAATGTCATTATTTTCTTCCCAACATGTGCTATCCATTTTAGATGTTGCCACTGTTGGTAGTCCTCTAGTGATGTGGTTTCTGTTATTTGGTACAGTGCTTTGTGATTTTGTAGTGTCAGTCCACAATGTGCAAAGAAGGGTGATCTTTGCCAAGAGCCTCAGGCTTTACTTGCTCAGAGCCTTTTTTTCACCATTGATCTTAGGAAGCAGTTGTATACAACTGACAGTTTAGCTATTTCTGAACGGATTTGGCACCATGCATGGCATCCAGATGAAAATCTTGATCTGATAAGGCCATTTAAGAACAGGGTTGATGTTTTAGTTTCATATCAATTTGCGGTGTTAGGCGAAACTACCTCTGTTCTAAACAGGTGAAATATAGACAAAAACTTAATTTAATTTCACCATACCTGTATGAAGGAGAGTTGATGGCATAATAAGAAAGTGATTAGGAAGGTGAATGGAAGAGATGTTATTGTTTCCAAGGGAAGTCCCCACTTCCATAAAAAAACATCAGGTAACTGTCTTTTTGGAGTTTCTTCTCTTTCTCTTTTCTGTCTCTTAGCAACACGTTCGTCTTTACTTGATACTCTCAGTATTTTCATTCCACACTGTCACAAGCTTGTGTGTGCATGGCTCAAGATACCCTATATCAATAAAGACGTTTTTGTTCAGAAAATTTGTTTATGATGAGATATTCATGACCCAACGTTCCACTGTATTTAGTTGCTTATTTTGAGAATCACTTGCACTGTCTAGTTGGTAGGTAGATATCTATGTGACACTTGAGACAACTTTTTCTAATTCTGTCATGACAGACTAATGGATCAAGTCTTCACTTCAGCCAATAGAAACTCTTACTCTTGCCTATCACCCTTCGGCCTATCTCTACATCATGGTGCATGGCTCACAACTCGCACATTAATAGCAAATTTCAAACTGCCTGCTTTAGGCTATTTAATTGCAACTCTGCTTAATTAAGCCTGTGACTGGAATTTTCTAACTTCCAGTCAAGTGACATTTGATCCTGAAAGTTTTTATTTATTTATTTACTTCATTTCCTTTCAGTTAGCAGGAGATTTAAAGTTTTCCTTCACAGATTTAGTTGTCTACATTTCCCAAATAAAACCATTCACATTCTTTGCTCTTCAGAGCTCAATTGAGGACAAAACATAATTATGTGCATAACAATTAAAATTAAGAGGGAGGAAAAAATGATTATCACTATGAGTCAGAAACTGATTATATTAAGACCTCACAACCATTCCTTCCACTTATAGAGGGAAAGCTGTTTAGATTTAATATAGAGGATTTCCAGCACTTTCACTGAATTTTAAAAAAATACTCACAATAAGAAACATGGAATTAGTTGTGACTGAAACAGTAAATGGCTGGAACTTTCCATAGGATTCAAATGTTTCACACTGGACTAATGTATTCGGATCCCTGTTGGTAAATAAAATAGAAGATAAATAAGTGGTTTATAGATAATATATTTATATATTAATAAATATAATATATATTTATATATAATTATTTGTGTTTATAGAATAGTATTCAAAACAAAAGTGAAGAAGATGAGACAAAGTGGAAAATTTATTAACAATGCCTTCCTTTAGAGTGTCTGCTCTCTTTGGCTTCCACAGGTTAGAATAAAATAAATACAAAACTGTGTATGAGAAAAAAAATGCCTCGACATCTCTGAAGATAGGTGGGAACCATAAATCAAATTAAATTACATTACATTATTACTTCCAATGTCCAGAAACTCAAGAGAGTGTCTAACCACCTGTTGCTTGTTTTATCTATATCAGAAGCATTTTGTGTTGATGGATTTTAAATCAGTCCACCAAAACTAGAGTGTTTATATATATGTATATATATCTTGCACATTTTTTATAGTTATAGGTTTGTTTATTTTAATACAAACTTATTTAAAAACCCATTAATCCCTGTTTATTTCATTTATATATATATATATATATATATATATATATATATTCTTGCATATATGTGTACATACATACACACCCAATCAGCCTGTACATATATGAGAGCCTTTTATTTGTATACTTGTACATACATGCCTATATATATATATGACAGAATCCCCAAACTACACAAACAACAGACATTTGTCACAATTAAAGACCACAAGGAGAATTTCCTAAGTAATCCCCAATACCGACTACTTCAAGCCATCCAAAAATAACATTGGTATTATCAGCAAAACTATTATGAAAAGAGCATATAAGTATATTAAAAAGTCTTTAGGTATCAACCAGTGGCGAAATATAGTCAAAACTATCAAATGGTTCTGTAATATAAAAAAAGAAAGAGTATTGCACATTTTTACAGTTCAATATTTGTGACTTCTACCCATCCATCATGGAAGATCTACTGATGGCTGCTATTAATTTAGCAAAGAACTATTGCCATATTTCTGACAAAGAAGTAAAGATAATAAAACTGTCACAGAAACCAATTCTATTCCCCAACGGAAGTCTATGGACTAATAGAAATAACACAAACTTTTGAATATCTATGGGAGCACATGATTCTGCAGAAGCATGTGAACTTGTAGGGATACTGTTACTATGGAGACTCAGATTTATTACTGATATAAAAAAGAACGGTATATACAGAGATGACAGGATAATTCTCCTTCATAAACCGAGACCAAGCCAAGTGAACCGGATGAGAAAGGAACTCACTAAATTCTTCAAGGACCATAAACTAAACATTACCACCAATAATAACACTAAAGCGATCAATTTCCTAGACATTACATTTGAACTGAGTAAGGGCCTGTAAAAGCCATATGCTAAGGATTCATACTACTACACGTACATTGACAGAAGATCCAACCACCATAAAAGGATCCTGGATACTTTACACAAATCAGTATAAAAGTAGGTTATCAACCAAATCCAGTAACAAAGAAATATTTTATGATAATAAAAATATAACAAAATACTGGAATAAAGCAATCAGAAAGTGAAATTAGAGTATATAGAAAGAAAAAAGTAGTAAGCTAAAACAACACAAACATAACATCATACAATATCAAGAATAAAATAGATAGAATTTTCCTAAATTTAATTCACAAACACTTTAGTCATTCTCTAACACTTAAAAAGATTTTCAACAAAAATAATATTAATGTAAGCTATAGTTGTACAAAAAACATTGATAATTATATATCATAACATAACAATAATGTATTAAGTAAGCACATGAACAATTATGCAATTTCACCTTTGTAAGTATAAGGCTAAGCAATAAACACATTAGATATATAGTTTTGACCTGTTATTATATTAACATTGTAAGTACTAAGTTTATTCCATTAGATAGTACTTTAAATGTTATAACAATGGAATTTTATGCAAAAATTTAGAGTTATTCCTTTTGATACTTAATATGTTTACTTAATTTCATTTTTTTTTTAATTCTTCGTCTTTTGGACTTAAGAATTAGAATGATATAAATTATAAATAATTAATTATAATATTATAGGAAACAATAATAAAATAAACACGTCTTAACACACAGTTTTAAATCATCACCATGAGAACATGGGTTTCACAACACTCTTTGGTCAGTGGGTATTCTGCATCTGAACATTGCATATTTGCATGAAACTCCGGATTGTGCTATTGACATTGGATATTATGTAGGTACCTCCACTAGGTTGCATAAAAAAACAGCATCGCATGATGAAAAAAGGCCCCAGACTCAATAAAAACAAAGTTTTGTCATCAAAATGTTTGTTATTATTAGGAGGAAAGATCAAAGTATTTTTTGAAATTTTTTTACTCCTGTCTAGCACGTTTGAAATTTTGGTTAAAAATCTTTTTTTCTAATGACAGTGGTAAACTAGAGAAAAAGGGTTTGTTTTATTTTGCACTTTTTCCAGTTTGGTGATATTGTTAAGTGCAAAGTAAATTTATGAATCGAAATTTGAAAAGCTTATAACAGTTGTTTGAACCTAAATATTTTAAAAATAATTTTAGTGAAAAAACGTTCCTAATTTCTACCTATGGGAATCTAGATGACATAATCCTTAAAAAGGTCACATGATTTATGTGTTGTCTGATGCACTGCAATTATTTAACTTTTAATTCAGTTCCATTTTATCATTAACATCTTTGCAAATCATCCCTTCAAAATATTAAAAAAAGTTTTACTTTTCTTAATTGCTATTTCACCAAATATTTTTATTTGATACATTTATTTTAGTTTGGGTTATACTTCAATTAATTTTTTATTTAAGGTAGTAAAAAGTCAATAAAATATTAAGTAATTGCTGAAAATATGTTAATTTGTAAAAAGTACTATGTAGTTAAAACCTAAAAAAAATGCGTTCACTTAGATTTTGTAAATTTATGTCATTTTTGGTCATCCATAAGAGCTGTCATCACCTTAAGTTTGTCTCCATAAATCAATAAAGATCAAAGAAAGAGGAACCCATTGTTAAGAAATGCTTGTATATTGGTTTTTTATGCTATAAGTAATATTTTTTTCAAATCAGATTAATTTAATTTTAAATTTTCTAATTTTACTCAACATGTCACAAATCTGTAATTTAATTTTTAAAAAATTTAAGAACCGATGAATGTGTTGCTTACAAATTTCTTAAAAATTAAGAAAATGGCTACTTTTAAAAAAATTTTCAAAAAAATTGAGCAGTTATTTGACATTCCAATCTATATACTTTCTATCTGAAATACACCATAATATTTTACTTACTTGAAATAATGAATTTAATCATTTAGCTTTCAATTAAAACTAGAATTAAATCTTCAAGAATGCTTTTTCATTTTTAAAATTTAATTTTTAAACTTAGGTATGGAAAATTCAGTGGAGGTGCCTAATATTACGTATATTCACTAATATATATATATATATATATATATGTGTGTGTGTATTAATTAATGACTTTTTGCTCTGACATTGGATCTTTATCCTCTTGGAAATTCTATACGGATTACCATTATTCATTATATATATATATATATATATATATATACACACACCACTCTGTGTGTGTGTGTGTGTATGCGCATGGGTATATGTGAGAGGGAACATATATCTATATATTTATCTAGAGTGTCTGAAAAATCAAAAATAACATCCCCATTACTCAAGATACAAATATATAAAAAATTAACTATTCAGTTAAAAAAAAAACAAAAAAAACATAAAACAAAATACATCCTTGATAATGGGTGAAACTGCTCGGATATGTAGAACATTTTTACATACTTTATGTCCAGAAAAGAAAACATATGAACACAAGAAAAATTTAATAAAAAGCTTAATCACAGTACCTTGTCAGTCATCTTTAATAAAACTTGTATAAGAGAGGGATTACTGCCCAAATATATATATATATATATATTAAAACACACAGTGAGGTCAACACTCAGTGGCGACAGTCTGTTTCAGGTTTAAATGCCATCTTCAGATGGCCTGAAGGTTGTGTTTAAGCATGAAACTGACTGTTGACACTGGGTGTTGACTTCAATGTCCTCTATTATATTTACATATCCTTTATCCCTGATATTGAGTACTTTAACCCATAAATATAGGATACCTTAAAACTATATTTTTATCACACACAAAAATTTTCCAATGTAAATTTGAAAAAAAATTATCTGATGTTTGAATAAGTTTGACATTTGAGTTTTATTGAAGAATGTTTTGTTGATAAAATTGAAACTATCCAGACCTAAATAAACTTGTATTAAAATTTTCAATAGAAAACAGGAAAAAAACGTTGAAATGTTGAAAACAAAATTTCTTGACAACAAACATGGATTTTGAATGCTGATTTTCAAGGCTCTCCTCATTCTAGAGGACCAACACAACACAGTCTTCCTGACCTTGATAGAAGATGGAGTTAGGTAGACAAATTTTTCATTCTAAAAATATCTACACTTACTGGTCAGCGTTTCTGTTCAGTAAATTGGAATGTTTGACCAGAGGGAACCTTGGGTGCGTGGGGTCAATGCTTTCTGAATGTGGGTCAGAATGTTGTTGCTGTTGCTTTGGTTTTAGTTTTTGTTGTTGTGGTGGTGTGGGTACTGGTGGTGGTGGAGGAGGTGGTGGTGGTGGTGTAGGTGTAGATTTATGGTGATGTTGCTGTTGCTGGTGATGATGGTGACGCTGTTGCAGTTGTTGGGGTGACTGCCTGGGTTTTGCCGTGTTCTCATGACTCCCTTTTAAAGAAAGATTTAGAGCTGCAAAGAACAAAAATGAAAGAATGAAGGCCATAGAAATTCATCACAAGCAAAAGACAGAAAAAGAAAAGAAACAGTTACATTAGAAGAAGAGCCAATTCAATACAGTCTCTCCTCATTTAATGAATTTGATATTAAAAATTTCTGCAAAACATTGTGGATTTATTTCATATTGAATGATCTATTATGACATGTCTCTAATTTGTATTAGATACATTGTATTTATTTTCAATTTTTCTAGTTGAATTGTTCACCTATATTGCATATGATCCATTATTGTACATAATTAGGTTACAATAAAAAAATGTGTATTTTATATGAATATTACCTTATGACAATTGTATTGTAGTAGAATGGGGCAGTGGCTGGTATCATAGGTTTAATTGGATTATATGGAATAAATCATTAATTTTAATAGAAATTGCTATGTGGCTGGGAGTGATTCAATAGCATATACTCTTCTATGGTTAATTCATATTATTAGATTTAGTTGTAAACAAATGCATTCGTTTAGCTGACCAAATATGTCTGGTCCATCTGAAAAGAGTCAAGTAATTTTTATGTACCTTCTTCTTGAAATTCACTGGGACTCCAATCTGCATGTTGACGCCTGTGAATTACAAAGTGTTAAAAGAAATGAAACTGATTTAAGATAACAAAAATAATTCAATTTTGTTTTTTTCTTTCAACTCAAAAAAAAGAAAAAGAAAAGAATCTCAATGCTTTTAGGTTCTTTTTTTTTTATGTAATTATGAATGAAAAGACAATTTTTATTCAGATTTTTTTGGCAGCAGGGGTAGGCAGTGTCTTGATTGATCAAAATATGTCAATTTTACAAGCAGATTAGTTTTTGTTTTAGGCATATTTCGTTCTTGTCTTATTGTCTTTTCTGTTGAGGCTATTCATAGTTGGATTTTAGCTCAAAAGCTTTCCCTCTATTTCCTCCCAGAAAATATTTTGACTGTTATCCTCATTTTTGTTGTTTTGATTACAATCTCTTGGTTCGTGTATTCTCTAGCCTTCTTTGATGCCTCAAAATTTATATAAAAGTCTGTTTGAAAGAAGAAACTCTGATAAAATATACAGAAGTGATTAAGCAGTAAAAATGGAGGACACAAAACAAGAAAAGAAGGATAACAGATGGATCAAAAGATTGAATGCTGACCAATGGACAGCTAAATGCAATGTGCAAAAATGCCAGAGACGCTTAGTAATATTTATTGGAATAAACTAACAAAATCAAAGAGATAAACAAATTATATATGTTTATTTAATTGACTTTGATTGTGGCAAGTCCTTTGTAAATTGGGTTAGCAAAAGTTTCTTTAGCTGGGTAGTTTTTAGTTTACGAGTCAGGATCATTTACATTGCAGATCCTTCTTTGGATTTTATCAAGAACCCGAAGAGGAGTAGCAGGAGCACCAGACCAGATATGGCAACAGTATTCAATACACGGACAAATGGTAGATTTGTAAATGTGAAAAATGGACTGACAAGAAAAACCTTCTGGCACAACACAGTGAAATTAATGTCAAATGGTTTTTAGAAGTGTTGCTAATAGGGTTCAGTATTGTATTGAGCATGAAGGGGAACATTTTGAAACATGTTAAATAGTTTGTTAATAATAACAAATCATGTTATTTTGATATCACAATACTTATAAATTCTCTTAAACTACTTTAAGTTATTTTTATTCAATAAAAGTTAAACTTTTGGTGCACCATATGTGTGTGTGTGTGTGTGTGTGTGTGTGTGTGTATATATATATATATATATATAATGGGCCGAGTGGTTAGAATGTTCGCTTTCTGACCATGAGACCTGGGTTCAAACCTCACCATGGTCGATTTGTCAGGAAGAAGACTTATATTTATTTAGGATATAGTTAGTCATGACTTTCAAAAAAATAAATAAAAAAAGACTTATACCTCAAATTTACATGTAAAACCCATAGAATAGATATTTCTTGAGTCATTTTTAAGAAAAAATAGGTTTTTTTATGCCATCAGATATAGTCTTCTATTTAATATAGGTAATAACTCACTTTTTATTTTTTCCATTGGTCACTGGTTTATGGCACTGGTTGATGTGGGCTGGAAGTGGTGGCTTTAATGAAGGACAATGGCCAATCTCATAGTCAGGCACTTTAGGAAACATGTCTTTAAGTTTTCGATTTGATTTCATGATATCCAAGGAATCATCCAAAGGAGGCACCTGAAGAATACAAAAATTTATCACAGATCAGAAATGTAGAAAGCAAAAGATCCAAGAAGAAAATGGGCAACTGCTGATGAGAATTTTGAAATGTTGTAATGGAATGTCCCACACTCCCAATAACCTGTGTCGACTGACTATATCAGTAGCTAAATATAGTGAGCACAGGATATACCTGGGGGCTTGCTTCAGCAATTAGTTGGAGATTCATCTCCAGCTGTGCTTATCGAACTCTCTGCCTTCAGGCAGAGTCTCATCTGGGGTGGTAGACAGCTACCTGAACCCGTGTATACGGAGAATTTTTGCCCAAGCCTACGGGCTCGGATAACCCACGTTAAATTCAGCCTTGTGCTACATCTGACTGTGTGGGGCAGTTGGCAAATATTCTTGCTTCAGGAATTACTAGCCTACCACCTGATTCCCTTTCTTTCAGTAGTGTATTCTCTTTTACAATAAAGCTCTCTTTCTTTCATCTACGCCTGTGTTGATCCTTGCTTCAGGAATTTCTAGCTTGCTAACCGATTCCTTTTCTTTCAGTAGAGCATTCTCTTTACAATAAACCTCACTTTCTTTCATCTATGCCCGTGTTGCTGTTCCTTTAAGGATACAACATGAAATTAAGTATTTTCATTATTCTACATAGTAATATTACCATTGAACCAGTTCATGAAAACACGAGTAACATTTTATTTCTCTCTAAACTTTGATAGTTACTCTCAGCCAGTCTGTGGGAGGGTGTGGCTCCAGGTCCTCGCCTGAATGTGGATTTAAATTCTTATGTACAATAAAAGAGAATGAAAGTTGTCCCTCAGGTTGGAAGGCTTACAACCATATTACATTGAAACACCAATTCCTGTACAATCACCAAAGTTAAGCAACATTGAATCTGGTCAGTACCTAGATGGGTGACTGCTTGGGAATACCAAGTGCTGTAAACATGGATGTGTGGCTGGTGTAATGGATAAGAGCTTGGAATTGTTAATCTGAGAGCTGACTTCCAATTGGCTTTGTTATATTCACATTCACAAAAAATACCCTTGATAAAGGTATGAATCCACCTCTTTCACTCCTCCAGCTATGGGTTAATTAGTAAGACTTGTAACCAGTATTATCTCAAAAAAGAAAAAAAAAATATCAATTCTTAGGCAGACTTACCAACTTTGATGATGGGTTACCATTTTGCCGCTGCTTCCGGCACCACATAGACTTCCAGGAAACCAATTTCCTGCCTTTGTATTTGATCTGGAACGAATCAGAAGTATTATTCTTAAAAACAAAATAAATTCACACAGTATTTGTTGATTTTATAGCAAATACCAATAATTGTATATCAAGAGACAATTGCTAAATAATCTGGAAAAGATGGATGGAATTTTAGTAAGGTCCTTTGTCTACTTATATATATATATAACATCTCTAGCCTATCAGTAATGCTTGCCCTTCATTCCTGACCACTGATTATACTTTTCTTCCTGATTTTCAAAGTATTTCTATAATAAATACAACCATTCCCCCCCCCCAGACGAAACATCACAAACCTCTTTCTGTTCTGTTGCTATTTTCATGCAAAGTGTTCAGATAAACTACATTCCTTAGTTCTATCAGTTTTAACCTTCATGGCTAAGACCAGCCATGCCACACACATCATTCCTTTTGTATATCCATTACTGAAATGCAAGTTCTACAGGAGCAGCCTCTTCCTACACATTGCTGCTGTATGGAAGCGACTCCCAAGAGGATGCTTTCTGCAATCAATACAATCTTAACCTGTTCAAGGTTAACCATCATCTTCCACACATAAACTGTGCCTCTTACTCTGTAACCCTCTACCTCAAGTGGCTCTCATTGTATCTTCTTAAAGAGTTGTAACTGAAATTCCTGCATTTCTCCCAACCCATACATATATGTATTTTTGTCTACCAGCCTGAATATTTTTGTCTACTGGCCAAAATTTTGAGAGATTTATGAGAAGGGAAATTTCACTTGAAAGCACAAAATTTGGCCTGACTGACTGTTCTCCATGGCCATGTTGGTAACATGTGCCAGGCTAAACAGTAGCTCCCTCTGCTCTGTGGGACAAAGGTTCGATTCCTGCCACATAGCACAATTTTTTTTAATAATATTTCTGAAACATCCAGGCTGGTGGATAAAAATAAATATACTGTTTTATATATATATATATATATATATATTAGTGATAGACAGTAGGGTTAAAAAACAACATCTACGTGCAGAGGTGAACTTTAATGGAAAATGCTCAGGAGGTGGTGGGTACTTCTACTATTGCCTGCCTTTTTCCACAGGCTTTTATTGATGCTGTCAGGTTGGTTGTCTCCAAATGTCTTTGTTGCTTTGTCATTACCTCTCACTTTGATCCTGTGTGAATTCTTCTTCAAGCAGCTTGGAACGGACTCCATCCTCTGCTCAATATCAAAACTAGTGCAATACAGACAGTGTGCATGAACCATTCATATGTTCACACTTTATATATATATATATATATATATATAAATAATGGTTGGCTATTCTTGCTTTCTGTCTTGCTCCCAAGACCAATAGTATCAAGAAGTCACCTCCCTGAAAAATTGACCATGGGAAGTTTCAAAACTAAGGTCTCAAGGCCAGAAAGTGAGATTATATATACTTTAAAAATTGAACCTGCTTACCTTGGTTTCAACCTTATGGCATCCTCAGGCAATTTTTATCAATTGACCTCCTAACAGTTTATTTTTTAAAAAAAGTATTGAATGTTATATTATTAAAAAAAAAAAAAATAAACAAACGCATGACGTTGGGTGTGATAGAAAGGGAGGAGGAGGAGGAGGAGGAGGATGTGACGAAGGAAAGAGAAAAAGAAGGAAAAGAGAAGACAAGCAAGGGTATTATAAATGTATCAGTGGGAGGGGGTTGTAAATGAAATGTACAGTTTTTTTTTTATAATATATATAGCTGACTTAGTATTTTGTTGTGGATTTTTTAAAATCATTTATTCCAGGCTAGGTTATAATTGCACTAAAATGCAAGGGATTACTGGTGGGAGTGAAAGAGAATGAGAAGACTTTAGTGAGGAGAAAAGACAATAAAAGACCAGGTTTCAGGAAGGCAGACAATGGTGACTGACTTTGCATTTAAATTTTTGAAGATTGTAGGTGACAGCAAACCAAGAAACCAGAAGGGAATTTCCACATGTGAAAAAAAGAAACTATTAGAATAGAACTTAAAGAATAGAGTTACATCTTAGCTATTTCAACAGATACAGTGTAACCCGGATATAAGAGAGTTGTCGGGACTGGAGAAGAAGTCTCTTATATCCGGGTTTCTCTTATATCCGGGTTTGGTCTATTTTATATACATTAACACAGGCTCTAATTTGGGACCAGAGAAAATTTCTCATATCCGGGTTACACTGTATAAATAATGAGACCTAATTTCCAATCTAGTACTGCACTTAAATTCATGCAGTCGAGTCACCAAGGATGAAAGCTCATCAGAACAATTGCCGTCAAAATATTTATAGAAATGATAGAGGGTATTCACATCACAGTGGTGGGAAAGTGACTGAAGTCAAGATGTCAGGTCACCTGATTGGGGTCCAGGGATAAGTTTTCAAGTCTATGTAAAAGACAAAATTCATTTTCAAGACATGTAAGTCCTTCTTATATTTGGCTCTACAGAATCCGTCTTTCTCTTGATCAGAGGAAACATACACATGAATATATATAGAGAGAAAATCAGGGAAACACTTGAATCTGAATTTGAGTGAGGAGATAGTTACTCACAGATGCCCAACCACAACCAGATTTCTTGGAAGGATTGACCAATTTCTTGCAGTGACTTGCCCAGGCACTTGGTGAGTTGAAAATTTCATTATTTTCTTGCCACCGAATTTTACCATTTGGAAGAAGATCAGCAGAAAATTTCTTTCCCTGGTTACAAAAAAATTAAATAAATAAAATAAAAATAGAAAAACAACAAAAAAAAAAGTTGTTAACATTAAAACATGGGAAAAAAATGAACAAACAATCAAATATGAATTTACAAAAAAATTTACGTAAAATTAGAAATACTTTTTTAAAAAATCATCTCACCCCAAGCAAGACAATAAAGCCACTAAGATGCAATATTATAAAATATTTTTTTATTTATTTTTTTTAGTTATTTCACTCCAAGCAAGTTAGCAATTTCACTAGTAGACAGACGTTTACAGGGAGTGAGAGGGAAGACTGAGAATAGAGAGGATTGAGGAAAGGACAAAAGATGAATAGGATTCAAGAGGACAGAAGGTATTGATTGATGTTGCATTTAAATTTTTGAAGATTGCATTTAACAGTTGCATTTAGCTATTTAAACAATAAATGAGTGGGACCTAGATGCCAATATGAGAATAAAAAAACAAAAGCACTATTAAGAAGAGAGAATATAAGATGATGGATATTCTCTTAAAAGTTTAGTAATCTTTTCTTTATTTCCAATACTTGGGTATTGTCCAATGTATGTCAGTGAAATATTCACTTTACAAAATGGGAAAAAGATATCAGTTTAAAGCAACAGTTCTCAACTGATGCACTGAAAGGGTTGCCAGGTTTGCTCCCAAGTTAACAGAAGAGTAAAAAAAAAACTTTATTTTTAAAAAGCTAGCACTTGGCTTCCATGTCTAAGTTTTTTGATATTTTAAACTGGATGTTAAATTCCTTAATCTGTAAGAAGAAGTAGAAGATAATACTTTCCCTTTTACCTTCATCAAGTGATTTAAGAGTTGTCTTTCTCCTAGATTGTCTGCCAACCAAGGCTGTTCTACCATTTAACCCATACTTGAAGAACATATGAATTGGTACCTTTCTCACTTGTGCGTAAGTGAATGCAACAATCTCAATTGGCATTAGAACTTAGTTTCAATTTTTCATTTCAAGCCACTATTAATTACACTACATTTAATATATAGTATATAAACAAAAACGAAAAACTCATAACAGAATTTAATATTTCTTGAAGTTTAATAATTATTGTAAATATTAAAAAACAAAGAAAAAACCCGAAACAAATGAACAAGGGAGGTAACTTGGGTGTAAATTTTGAAGAGTCATTTCCCTTTGTTCAAAAAAAAAAGCTTCAGCTAGGAAGATCGTAGAGACAAATTTACTGACACTTCGTTGGAAATTCAAAATTCTTAGAATTTCAAGAGTGCAATCTATTCTCTTGCTCATGTTATAAAAATATCAAGAACTCTTTTTTTGTTGTAAAGAAAAAAGAAAAAAATCGCGAATGAATGATTTAAATTAAATAATGTATTAATTATAATGAAATGTGACTGAAAAATATGCAGAAAAATAGATATACCACAATATAGGCATCTCCAAAAAAAATGTGATCTCTAAGGTTTTTTTAAAAATGCATTTTAAAAATGAAAAACTTTCTCGTAGCTTTTATTTTAGTTTTAATTCCAAATTAACAGATAAAAATTTATTTTTCTAACAAGCAAAATACTTTGTTGTATTTCAAACAGAATTTAAATTCATTGGAATATCTTTTTTTTTGAATTGCTAAAATCGGCTATACTGACAAATCTGTCAACACGACATAATTCTTTTTATTAAAATATCTTTCAAAAATAAAATATACTTTTCTGAACCTTTGAGAAAGATTAACTGATTTAAAGTTTAATTAATCTGAATCAAATTGCTTACTTTTAAGTTTTAAATATCAGAAAAGCATTTTATTTTAACATAGAGGTGGGTGTTTTGTAGGTGTTGACAGATTTATCAATAGCTTAATCTTTGGTAAATTTAGGTAAAGGGTATATAACTGTAAAAATTATTTGATGGATACAATGTGAACATCTTTTTTATAATTTTTTAATTACCCAGTAATCTAATATTTCATTGAATCCTATCAATTTTGGCTTTACTTATGAAGATGCTTGCTGAGGAAATGATAGAAAATTGCCAATAATTCTTAAATTTACTATAGTTACCACTTATTTTCTGATAATGTCATGTATGGACATCCATATTTGCAAAACAAATTATACACACAAAATAAATTCAAAATTCTTTTTAAAATACTTGGGTTATTGAATTGTAGCAAGCTTTTCCATTTATGAATACTATACAATACACACACGCGTGTGTGTGTATATATATATATTATATATATACACACGCGTGTGTGTATATATATATATTATATATATCATGAGACCCGGGTTCAAATCTCACTACGGTCGATTTGTCAGGAAGGAGACTTTCCTGATGTTATTGGTGTGGAGTGGGGAAGATCCCAGTGTGCGGCACATTTGAAAAGTGCCTGAAAACCATACCATGAGTTGACCCAAGCCTTGCGGCTCAAATTAGGTAGATAGAACACTTGGGGCCATCGTTAGCTGTGTTAGCACAAAGTCACAAGTCATTGTGACTGAGGGTTTGAGTGTGCTGGTGTTGTTCCGATTGTTGATCATTCTAGATATCACGCTCTCTCCCAGAAACTGTAACTAAGGTCTGCTCAGCATAGTTGCAGTATAAACCACAGGTAGGCTCTGTGGGTGTTGAATAAATATAAATGTTCCTGAGCGAGCATCTGAATTAGGGATTGGCTAGCTGCTCTAGTAGACAGGTATCTTTGAATACGAGTGGCCAGCTATTATATTATATAGTACACTGTACAAAAAACACAAACACTATATAAATATAATACAAGTAAAAGGTTTGGCACTTAGCTCAGAGATGTTACCTTCAGCATCCCAACTCCAGAGTTTTGTAGACAGACACTGA